ATAGTCTACTTTCAAGACCTATACAGGATATTAAGGAGACAGTTTCATTCTCCATGACTGCAAATTTGCATATTGATGGCGTTGCGCTTTGCGAGTGTGCGACCATGTCACTTTTCTGTCTCTATGAGCTACAAAACTCATTTTGCTCTTTAATTTCTCTTATATGACACACTAAGTAATGTGTACTTCTCTAGCGAGTTACCAAGTATAGCGTGGCAGACGGCTGTTGCTTTTGCCGCGAATGTTCTGGCTTTCGTGTGGCGCTATTGTGTGCCTATTCTCCATGTATCACCTTCCGCTTACTTCTCAGGTGACTGTTCATCCATTGGTCCTGCTGAGTGTAGTTGATCACTTCAACCGCGTCAGCAAAACTCAAAGCGTCAAGCGTGTGGTCGGAGTATTGCTTGGTTCAATGAAGAAAGACAAGACATTAGATATCGGAAATAGCTTTGCTGGCAAGTTTATCCACCCCTATCTGTCATTATCATAGCATATCGTAACACTTGAATATTCCAGTGCCGTTCGATGAAGATGAAAAGGACAAGAGCACCTGGTTCCTTGACATGGATTATCTGGAGAGTATGTATAGCATGTTTCATAAGGTCGCTGCCAAAGAAAAGATAGTAGGATGGTATCATACTGGGCCGAAGCTACACAAGGTGAGCTCAATGGTATCTAGTTAATGCTTTGCTTCGTCTCATGCAATCTTTTCTTTATTCGCTTTGCATTCATTGCAAATGATAATCAGCTGAACTGATCCTTATCAAACGAATCATTTTTGCGCAACATAGCGTTCTCCGACTTTCGTTTTAGTCCATACAAATACATAATAACTTTGTGGGCTGGATACCCTATTTGTTGGAACTCAAAAGTTTTGAAGTGAACTTAGTAGTGATTTGAAATTGTGTGTGTGGGAAAAGTCGGGCTTTCTAGATACGAACCCGATAAAATCTTAGCATTTTCGGTTTGTCAAATTCGTGACCCATTTGGTGGGTGCTCTTCCAAATTGACAAAATAGTCACGATTTATTGAAGATTCATATTTGTGAATGTTTTGACCAGTCAAGCGCTAAATTTACGCGGTTGGAGTTATTTTTGCAAATTGTCAAGTCATATAGGGAGTTCCATACACTCGAGTTTGCACTTCCTTCAAATTTTGATGTAAACCGACAGTTCTTATATAAATATTTACCAAAACAATTTCGATCTGCAATATATATCTGAAAATATTTTCTAAGGAAGTTTTTCCTACTATCATTTCAATATTCACTTGATAGCGACATTTTAGAATGATATTGCAATCAATGAGCAAATGAAGAGGTTCGTTCCACACCCTGTGCTTGTCATCATCGAAGCAGAACCAAAGGACATCGGGCTTCCCACTGAAGCTTACATCGAAGTGCAGGAAGTCCATGATGTGAGACTGCTACGCCTTGCGCTGATTTGCCTCCTTACGATATATTCTTTTACAGGATGGCACCCCTCCCATAAAGACTTTTGAACATGTAGCCAGTGAAATTGGTGCTGAAGAAGCAGAAGAAGTGGGAGTCGAGCATTTGTTGAGGTACTGTTTTTTTCATTGTTTGCTGCAGATTTTGATTCTCGTCTTATAGGGACATAAAAGACCAGACGGCTGGCACGTTATCGCAGAGAATAACTGACCAACTGATGGGTCTTCGTGGGCTCCATTCGCAATTGGTAGACATTGAAAAGTAAGTGAGATTAGATCTTCCATACAATATGGTTCTCATATCGCTTTTTCAGATACCTCCAAGATGTCGCAGCTCATCGTCTTCCAATCAATCATCCTGTAATTTATCATATTCAAGTAAGCGCAGCTCTCAGTTTGTGTTGATACATGTACTAGAGTCGTTTCTCATCTAATGGAATGCATGTCGGTCCGAAAGTCTGTCGTATCATTGTCAAAAGTTTGTAACTTCGCGCACTTTCAACGAACTTGCTCTGGCTTAATTTTGTTAGAAAGAATGAGTCTTTCGCTTTCGAAC